ACAGAAGAAATTATTTGCAAAACCTATGATACTACTTTACACCCACTAGGATGGCTAAAATGAAAAAGACAGTAATGAGTGTTGATGAGAATGTGGAGAAAATTAAACCCTCATACACTGCTTATGGGAATATAAAATCGCACAGCTGTTTTGGAAAACAGTTTGACAGTTCTCCAAAACATTTAGCACGGAGTTAACCATAACGACCCAGCAATTCCACTCCTGGGAATGTACCCAAGAGAAATGAAAAGATATGTCTACATAAAAGCTTGTACAGGAATGTTCAAAACATTATTATTCATAGTAGCCAGAAAGTAGAGCTCCAAGTGGTGGCTCACACCTGTAATCCCAACACTGGGAGACTGACGCAAGAGGATTGCTTGAGGTCAAGAGTTCAAAACCAGCTTGGGCAACAGAGCAAGGTTCCCACCTCTACAAAAAAACTAAAAAACTAGCTGGGTGTGATGTCACACACCTGCAGTCCTAGCTACTCGGGAGGCTGTGGTGGGAGGATCATTTGAGTCCAGGAGGTTGAGGCTGCAGTGAGCCATGATAGCTCCACTGCACTCTAGCCTGGGCAACAGAGCAAGACCCTGCCTCAGAAAAGTAAATAAAATATAATACCCCCCCCAAAAAAAAAAAAAAAAAAAAAAAAAGAGAGAGAGAAACCACCCACATATCCAATTGACAAATGCATAGAAAAAATGTGGTATGCTCACATGACGGAATATTAGTCAGCACTCAACAGGAAGCGGCAACATACGCTACAACACGGACAAAACCCGAAAACATTATACTAAGTAAAAGATGCCAGACCCAAAAGACCACATATGTATGTTCTCATTTATATGAAATGTCCAGAGTAAGTAAATTCATAGAAACAAAAAGATTAGTGGTTGCCAGGGGCTGATAGGGAAGCAAGATGGAGAGTGACTGTTAATGAGTACAGTTTCTTTTTGGGGTGATGAAGTAGAGAGATATAACCCATATGGACAGCAAAATAACATTTGGCACTGGAAAGTCATCATCAGAAATCTGAATTCGGATTACGCTCTTGTGCAGAACAATGAATAAGACTGAAAAACAGTAATTTCAAGTTTCAATACAAAGTGGCCACTTCAGGACTACCCCCACCCACAAGTATACAACATCAGAATATTAAGCACCTGAATACACAATTTCACATACTGGTAGATTTCATACATAGCAAATATTGTTTTGCCTTTCAATTTTCAATAAAAAGTGTCATCAAATGATAGGTTAACTTAAAAAATAAACAGTACATCAGAATCTGCTGGGAACAACCAAATATTTAATGGCATCTTTCCTCATGAAGACTCTAAATACTACCCAAAACATTTTGACAAAGTAATAATTTGAGTACTTTTGCTGAATTGCCTTCTTCCAAACCACAAAGCTGTTTCATTTTCCCCTATGATCTTTCACATGCCTGTGATCCCATCCCTCTTATTAACTGTATGTAAGAGGCTTATATATGACAACCAGCTCTTGATTACGGTCTAATGGTAAACTAGGTTACCAAAGCTCTCTGTACAGGGAAAATCCCAGTGAAACACGTACCAGACTGAAGACAGTTTACGTAACACTACCATTTTAACTTAAGTTTAGTTACTTCCTATTGCGGGACTACTCTGCTGTGGTAGAAACAACGGAATGTCAGGGAGCTGGTACTTTTGGCCACCACAGAACAGTTAATACAAAGCACTCCCTGAAAGCCAGACTCCCAGAGTTACAGGTGACATGTCCTTAAAAGCTTTAACATTGTAAAGAACAGGAAAAGTACAGGGGATTGGGAGGGAGAATTGTATAGATTACCTGAAAATTATATTTTCCCTATTGGTAGTTCTGACAAAAACCTGAAAGCCAAGTAGAGGGCTGGGCACGGTGGCTCACACCTGTAATCCCAGCACTTTGGGAGGCCGAGGCAGGTGGATCACGAGGTCAGGAGTTCAAGACCAGCCTGGCCAAGATGGTGAAACCCAGTCACTAATAAAAATACAAAACTTAGTTGGGCGGGGTGGCAGGCGCCTGTTATCCCAGCTACTTGGGAGGCTGAGGCAGGAGACTTGGTTGAACCCGGGTGGCAGAGGTTGCAGTGAGCCGAGATCGCACCACTGCGCTCCAGCCTGGGTAACAGAATGAGACTCTGTCTCAAAAAAAAAAAAAAAAAAAAAAGAGAAAGCCAACTAGTAAAACAAACATAGCATTTTGTTGTTTTAGCTGAAGACAACTTTAAAAATAAAGTTTGTGGCATGACAAAGTCACAATGACAAGTATCCTACTAGTCAAACTGGTTTAATGTACTTAAGAGAACATTCTAAGAAAGGTGTGGAGCCTTTCTCTATGGCTCTACCCCCAGAATATAGGAGAAAACAGCTCAGCATCACAAAATACCACAATCTAGAAACACATGTGCTCAGATTTCTCTGGTATAGCACCATTTGCAAGCTCCCAGAAGTGAGCATGCTGAGTAATTCTCAAAAGGGTGGCTTACTAGAAGAAACCTGCTGGCAAAACCTAATCTCCTTCCCCTGCAAAAGACCCCACAAACTACAAAAAATCCCGGCTCATAATACACTTTAAAATCAAATGGGGCTGGGTGTGGTGGTTCACGCCTATAATCCCAGCACTTTGGGAGGCCAAGGTGGGAGGACCACCTGAGGTCAGGTGTTTGAGACCAGCCTGAGGGTTGGCCACGTGGTGAAACCCCTCTCTACTAAAAATACAAAATTAGCCGGGTGTAGTGGTGCATGCCTGTAGTGCCAGCTACTCTGGAGGCTGAGGCAGGAGAATCGCTTGAGCCCTGGATGTGGAGGATGCAGTGAGCCGAGATCGCGCCACTGCACTCCAGCCTGGGTGGCAAGAGCCAAACTCTGTCTCAAAAAAAAAAAAAAAAAAAAAAAAAATCAAATACAAGATTGGGAGCAACTTAACCTCTCCAAAATCGTTTAATATGACTACGCTTGAAAATAAGTATGGAGAAGTGGGGTAGGTTGCAGAAATATGAAATACTGAAGACAGAAAATAGGGACTAAAAGTGACGCTGTAACCCACCGAAGACTAAGTTAGCACAGTATTTAACAAGCAGCAGTTTAAAATGTTTGTGAAGAGACGGCTAAGGGGTGTCCTGTCACATCTCCGTCCTCAGGAGGAAGCTGAATAGAGGGGAAGATAAAACAGAATGGATTTCAACTGGACACAAGGAACTTCTTTAGCAAAAAAACCAAAAACAACAACAACAACAACAACAAAACACCAAAAAGTGATAAAACTAGCCCTGCTTACCAAAGACTAGAGCTACCATTTCAACATTTTAAAAGGGTAAATCAGTCAGGATCTTTAGGTCATTCTCTTGGGTTGAAATCAAGTAGCCGAGGTACTTGTTGACCATAATGTGATTATTCAGGGGCTACTATTTTCAAATAGTTGGCAATAAGTACTTACTTGACTGACCAGGGAGGGCTCACCCAAGAGCCAGGACACCTCGCGGTCCCAAATCCTCAAAATGCAGAGGAGGAAATCAAGAGAACAGAGACAAGAGCATGGATTCAGGCTGCCAATAAAGGTTGGATCCCAGGTTCCATGTAGATGTTTGAACAGTTGGTGACTTTGAACCCCTCCATTTGATTCGTGGTTACTTCCTGGCTGCAGCACCGCATCGCACAAGAGTTCCCCCTACGACTCTGGGCACCCCGCATCTCTAGCCAAGCTTCTTTCGGCCCTTGACTTCCTCCAGCTCTCGACGGAGAGGTGGTAAAAGGATGAGTAAGCATGCAGTGGCTGATCTTGGTCAAAGAGCACAGACCCTGGCACCGGCGGTGGAAAGCGCAGCTGGGGAGTGCATCCCGCGAGCGGCAGGCAGGTACAAGCTTCCCACGACAGATACTGTCACCCCGTTCCGCAATCACCGGAGCCTTTGAACCCTCGCTTTCACCTCCCCATCCCCCCAACTGTGGCCCGGTGCACGTCTTCTATAGATAGCTACTTCAAAACAGCCCGAAAAGATGAACGTAATTTCTCCAGGCTTCCGGATGTCGGGAGACAATACAGCCTCACCCTGAAGCGTGTCTAAGTTCGATCGCTCTGGTTTCTCACAGGCCAGAAAACCGCTTGTTCTGTGACACCCCGTCCGCGCCCCAACCCGACCCTAAGCCACCTTATTCAGCAGTAAGGCGACGCTAGGAACCGTTTCAAATGTACGTCAACCTTTTGGGGGAAGAAAAAGAAAACAAAAAGACTTTGGAATTACTTCAACAGCGTGGTTGCAAGTACCTGACCTTATTCCTTCCCGAACAAATATAGGGCACTGAGAGATCAGACATTCCTTTTTCTCTGCCTTCCTACCCGGGCCGCCAGCAGCATCTCCAGGGCCTCCAGAGGGGCCTCTTTGGGGGCTCGCCTAGGTTTCCTATGTAGAAAACTTGCGTTCAGAGACCAAACGTTCTCTAAGTCCCTAGTTTTCTTTACAAGGGTAAACTTCACCACAGATGGAATGAAGCCGAGGTGCTGCTTCCTTTGTTAAAATCCCACGGACTTTCTTTTCCTTGCATCGGGGGCGGGGTGGGGGAGACCGCCAGCCCCGGTCACGCGCGCCCGCGGCGAAGGCGGGGAGGCAGGTGTGACTCCTTCCTCGCGGGAGCCTCTAGCGCGGCTCCCCGGCGCCGCCTCATTTCCCCAGACGAGCCCCGGACTCCTCGGCGGCCGGCGGCCTCCGCCCCGCGCCTCCCACGCCCTCCGCCCGGCCGCCACCTGCCCGCCCGGCCCGCGGAGGGCGCCCGGCTACCGCAGCTCCTCGACCGGTGCGGACGCCGCCCCGACCGCCACCACCTCCGCTCAAAATGGTGGTTACGAAACGCGCGGCCCCCGCCCGCCCCGCCACATGGCCGCGCCGGCTCCAAACTTCGCAGGCCCGACAGCGACCCGGCTTCCAGGCGAGGCCCCGGCGGCGCGAGGAGGCCGCGCAGCCACCGGCCACTCACCCACAGACCGGTAGCCCAGGATCGCGATCTTCCGGGACTTGGACTGCGGCATCTTGGCGGCCTCCTCAGCCCCGGCCCAACCACATCAACCGCGGCGGCGGCGGCTCCTGCTGCTGCGATCGGCGGCGGCCGCGCCGGGGGAGAGCGTCATACAGAGCAGGGGCGGCGGCGGGCGCGGCTGCCTCTAGCTAGCTCGCTCGCTCGCTCGCTCGCGCGCTCCCAACCGCCCGGAACCGACCGCGCGGCGGCGCCCCTCCCCCCACAACACACCCACGTGACCGGCCGGCGTCAGCACCGCCCCTCCTCGCGCCGTGGCCCGCCGCCTCCGCCCCCTCGAAATACGCGGGGGTGCGTCGGGGCGACGTTTTACTTTAAAGGCAAAAAAGGGGACGCCGCGATGCCCCTAGAAAAGTCACGACTGAAACTCGCTGCGTCATGACCCTCCCACCTTCTTCCGCCGCTTTTTAATTACGCCATTCTCCCCGAGCGCCGATTGGACAGCACCTGCACAGCCGCGCGATGACGTGTCAGAAACTCCATCTCCCATTGGGGGAGGCAAGGAGGCGGGGAGGAGGGGGCGGGGCTGCCCACCCAGGAGCTAAAAATACACCGCGCTTCTACAGCGCGGTTGGGTGCCGGCGAGGTTTGAAGGCTTCAAACTTCCAACTGGTTGGGGGCGGGCGGGAGAGGCGGAGAGACAAACGGTGACTCCCCGGTGATTGGCCGGAACGGAGCGCAGGGCGGGGCAATAGGTGGGAGGTGCGGTGATTGGTGATACGCTGAGCGGTTGGCGGGTTCGCGCCCGCTGAGCCCGTGAAGGGCGTGAGGCGCGTGGCCGGGGCGGGCGGTGGTTGGGATGGCTCCTCCCTCGGGGCTTTTTTGAAAATTCCCCTTGAGCTGCGTTAGCGTTCGTGTCTGGGTTTGAGGATGTAGTGGTGACTAAGCGTCACCCACGGCCGAAGGACTGTGGGAAGCATGGAGTCTGCGTTAATTCAAAGTGTTAGGAATTTCATTAAAAACAGGATGAGCCTCGTCAGTTCTGGTGTCTGCTTCGCTTCGCGCGGAGCTCGGCGCACCTCCTGGAACAGCTCCGGGGCGGGAAGCCGGTTCTCCGCCAGCGCCTGGGCGGCTGGTGCGGCGGGCAGGCCGGAGCCGGGTGCCAGGAACGCCTCGGGCCGCGGTGTGGGCACAGCCTTCCCAGGGGTGCAGTGCAGAGGGGCGCGGGAAGAGAATCCGGGCCGGGAACACAGGTGCCGTTGAGGGACGAGCCTCCGGGCAGGGTGGCTGCTGGGGGGCTTGGCACTTGCCGAGTTAGCAGAGGCTCCGCCGCGCTGGGGAACCCGCCCCTATTCTGCCGAGGCTGTTTGGCAGTGGGGACCTGCAGAGGCCGGGCATGGCCCTTCGCCCTTTCCCAGTGATCGGTAGGGAGGAATGAAGCCCAGGGAAACTTGAGTAGCAGGCCTTGTATTCCAGCGTAGGAAAGTTTAGAGGTGACTGGAGTCGAATTGGAACACCCAGCCCAAGAGCGACTCCCTCCAGCTTTCCCACGGAAGCACTCCGACAGGGGCTGGGGTGTGCATTCTTGTCCTTGGGGATCTACAGATGGAAGCCCCAGGCAGCCAGCCGGAAGTGATCAATGTCTGGAAGTACTATATTTTCATGAAATGTTGAGGTTTACGCTACAGTTATTTTAAGTGTTTTAAAACTAAAGGTCTTAAAATGCACTCTCCTGTAAAATGTGTCGTTTTTATCCTGTGGATTGGGATATCCTCACCACAGTGTTTTTGAACAGATGCTACTAAACTCCTTGCATTATCAAATCAGTTTAGTTTCACCTTTTTTAAAAAAACAGAACAGAATAGAAAACTGCATTATGCATAGTAAGGGTAAGTATGTGTCCTCATTAGTACAGTGGTGAGTTAAAAAAACGAGTAAGGGTAAGTGTGTGTAAGTGCATGCGTCAGTATATATATTTATAGATATGCTATATATGTATTATTGTATGTTGGGATTCATTGTAAAGTTTCCTTTTTTTTTTTTTTTTGAGACGGAGTCTCGCTCTGTCGCCAGTCTGGAGTGCAGTGGCGCGATCTCGGCTTACTGCAACCTCCACCTCCCGTGTTCAGGCAATTCTCCTGCCTCAGCCTCCCAAGTAGCTGGGACTACAGGCGCACACCACCACGCCCAGCTAATTTTTGTATTTTTAATAGAGACGGGGTTTCACCATGTTGGCCAGAATGGTCTTGACCTCTTGACCTCATGACCTGCCTACCTCGGCCTCCCAAAGTGCTGAGATTACAGGTGTGAGCCACCGCACCGGCCTCATTGTAAAGTTTCTTACCGTGGGCTGCTTCAAAAAGTTTGAAAGCACCACTCTAGCCTGAGAATATTGGTAATCCAGATGTGAAGCACAGTCGTAAAGGACAAACTCATTCAAGAAGTTTTCCAGGCCGGGCTCGGAGGCTCACGCCTGTAATCCCAGCACTTTGGGAGGTCGAGGCAGGTGGATCACGAGGTCAGGAGTTTGAGACCAGCCTGGCCAACATGGTGAAACCCTGTCTCTACTAAAAATACAAAAATTAGCCAGGCATGCAAAATTTAGTAGAGCCCTGTCTCTACTAAAAATACAAAAATTAGGTGGGCACCTGTAATCCCAGCCACTCGGGAGGCTGAGGCAGGAGAATTGCTTGAAACTGGTAGGCGGAGGTTGCAGTGAACCGAGATAGCGCCACTGCACTCCAGCCTGGGTGAAACAGCGAGACTCTATCTTAAAAAAAAAAAAAAAAAAAAAAAGTTTTCCAGTTGCTATCTTCAAGCCCTTTAATGTAGGATCCAGAGGTTTAGAAGATTCTTTTATTCCAGAGTGGGGAGAACTTGTTTCGTTTAAACAATGACTTAGCCAGCCTGGGGAACATGGAGAAAAGCTGTTTCTATAAAAAATACAAAAAAATTAGCCGGACGTGGTGGCGCGTGCCTGTAGTCCCAGCTACTTGGAGGGCTGAGGTGGCGGGATCACTTGAGCCCAGGAGGTCGAGGCTGCAGTGAGCTGAGATGGCGCCACAGCACTTCAGTCTGGGTGACAAAGTGAGACCTTGTCTTAAAAAAAAAAAAGAAAAAAAGAAATGGCTCAGATTAGCTAAAATAGTAGGGACTCAGTCTGAATTCACATGGAAATACTTGACTGCAACCAGATGGGAACAGGGTCAGAAGAAATGGACTTGCTTTTGTATTCAAAGTAGCTCCCTTATTGGTGGCTAACTCAGTCACCTTTGACTTTGCAGCAGCAGGAAGGTCTGCTGCCACCAGTCAGCTTCTCCTCAGCAGGTCCTGCTTGTTCGGGACTGCTCCTCGAGGCCTAAGCCTGCTGCCTCCTCTGTGTGTACTTCCACTTCTGTTCCCTTTCCCTGCGAACTAAAAACCATGTGTCTTCCGTTAAGTTTCCAGAAAGAGAACATCATCAATTCTGTTAATTCCCATCATCCCTTGAGTGAGGAGCTCATGCTAAGCATGTAGATTGTCCAGAGGGGTCTCTGCTAACCTACACCTCTGATGGCTGGTGGCTATGGAAGTTCTTTGAAATTTGGACATCTGATACGGGGTTTGTATTAACTTTCTATGAGCATTTCCAAGCCCAATATCTGATTTCTAGTTCCAACATGTTTTTTTTTACATACCAGAGATAACATACAAAACTTTTTTCCCCCCACCATTGAGTTACACTAAGATCAGAGTAAAAAACCACTGCTATGATTGTTTTTACCAAAGGACATTCTTTTACATGGAAAATGGTGACCCCAATGAAAGTAGACATTAAGGAGTTTTGTGGTTTGGTTTTTAAAAATATTTGATGAGGGAAGAATGGAGAAGAACCAGACTCCTTTTGATCTTGGCATAAGCCAAAGCAGACTGAACTGTTATGTCTCACATCGGTATCATTCAAAATCAAACAATGCATGCTAAGGTTATTCTATCGTGTGGTCATCTTATTGAAGTCAAAGAGGCAGATCCTTTGTGGATGGGAGAGCGGTTTCCTTGGTGGGGAGTTGACTGTCCTGTCTTCAGCATTGTAGGATGAAAGCCATCCTGGGAAAGGTGAATCCCCTGAATTTCACTGGGAGGAAGGAAAATCCTGCCCTCCCTCAATGACATAGGGGATCAGTCTAGTCTGAATCCTGAGGTATGGAGTTGCGTGGAGTGCTCTCAGAAGGGGGAAAGTGGAGTAAGCCAGCCCTGAGTCCATGGAGGGAGGCCATGTTTGAGAGAGGGTCGGCTCAGCAAAGAACTCTGAGGACAGATCTGGGGTTATACAGTAGTTGTAAATTGTTCTCAACTGTTACGGTTGAATTGTGTTCCCCGCCAAAAGATATGTTGAAGTCCTGCTGTTTCAGAATGTGACCTTATTTGGAAATAGGCCATTGCAGATGTCACTAGTTGAGATGAGATCATATTGGAGTAGGCCGGGCCAATCCAGTATGACTAGTGTCCTCATAAGAGGAGACACAGACAGGCAAGGGATGGTCCACGTAAAGACCAAGGCGGAGACTGGAGTGATGTTGCCTTAAGCTAAGGAACTCCTGGGGCTACCTGAACCTGGAAGAGGCAAGGAAATGTCCTTTCCTAGTGCCTTCTGAGAGAGCAGGGCCCTTCTGACACTTTGATTTCAGGCTTCTGGCTTCCAGAACTGTGAACAAATTTATCTTGTTTTAAGCCTCCAAGTTTGTGGCACTTTGTTATGGCAGCTACAGGAAACTAACACATTATCCTCAAATTTTCAAGAAAGTTTCATTAGAAGTTCAAATCTGGTTTCTGTTGGGCTATGAATGAAGTTGGCTTCTCCCAGCCCCAAGACCAGGATGCTCCTAGTAGGAGCCTTCACCAGCAGCGGGCTGCCAAGCCCAGCAGTCTCCTGAGGTTGCCGGTAGCAGTGGCCAGGCAAAGTGGTTGGTGCAGAACACACACATGGGACCTGTTCCTAAGAACCTGTGCAGAGGCACCTGGGAGACACGCAGGAAGAGCCAGGAGGCCCCTTCCTTGCAATAAAACAGGTGATGGCTTGTGCCTGCACAGCTTGGATTACATGTGATCCTCAGATGCGTCTTACATGTGGATTTAGTCACAGGGTTAGTAAGCCACTGAGAGATATGTTAATAATTAACATTTCAGGGACGTATTCACTATTGGTTCATCCTCCTATGTGAAGAATTGTCTTATTCAGCATATTGGGCTCCAGAGAGTTTCTTCCATTGTGGTGCAGGAAAAAAAGAACTTCTATCTTAAACATTTTTCTTTAAAAACAAAAAAATTGAGCTTTGCTACTTTGGGAGGCCGAGACGGGCGGATCATGAGGTCAGGAGATCGAGACCATCCTGGCTAACCCAGTGAAACCCCGTCTCTACTAAAAAATACAAAAACAAAAACAAAAACAAAAACTAGCCGGGCGAGGTGGCAGGTGCCTGTAGTCCCAGCTACTCAGGA